ATACAATTCGCGAGGCCGTACTTCAGAGCTAGTCTTGATGGAGTATTTTGGCTACCTGGTTGTGTCTGAGAGTCAACCCGAAAGCACATGTCTGATTCTCCGGGATGGCGACATAAGATTCCTCATACCATCCTTCAGAATGTGCTTTCGGTAATTGTTCGTCTTAACCACCTGATCCTGTATTGCACAGACAAAACCCTCGGTCTCTCCGAAGAGATCACCGAACTGTAGCCAGTGCACGGAGGTCTTCGTGTTTACGTACGGCCCGTGAAGGGCTTTGAAGAACCTTCCGTGCAACTCCTTCTCTTTCCATACGGCCTCCCGCTGAATAAAAACTTCGAGTTTTCGCCAGTCCTCTTTAGCCAGAGAAAGAGGGGTGAATCCTTTGTCACATTCTATGACCTCTCTATGCAAAACTATTTTCTCCAGAAAATATGTCCTTCATGGTCTTAACACTTAACAAGCCTCGACCACCAGCCTTCCGCGGGATATACAGCCTCATGACTGACGATTTCGGGTGATGCATTCTATGGAGGGTCATAGTTGTGCACTTTCCGATCCAGGGCTTCGAGATCGGTTTGAGACCATCTGAGCACGCCAAAAGTGTAAAGGAGTACGGGTATGACCCAGCCGTTATAAGCTCGGATTTTATTGGCGCCCGACAAAGAACTTTTCAGTACTCTTGTAAGGCGCGCAAAAAATTCCTCGCGGACTGACTGTTTCATATCCGTCTCCTTCACACCGATGTTTTGTGACAAAGATACCGGTATGTTTCAGCCTCGGAGAGGTTTTAAATTAGAGGGATCTGTGGCGATCCCTTCAGTTGCCCGTCCCCTCTGCACATGGAGGACCGCGCACTTGATCCTAATAGAGCTGCTATAATCGTTTACGATATTTAGCAGCTCCGTCAAGTCTCTTTCAAGTCATCCATGTACAGAAGGTGAGACACTCGTGTACCTCCTCTCCGATACTGAAATCCAGTCCCCGAATTCTCCAGTAAAGTACTGAGTGGATTCAGGGACAGGCAAAACCAAAGTGGACTCAAACAATCGCCCTGGAATATTCCCCTCTTTATCTCTATCCGATCAGCGGTATCCGTCAATCGCTCGCCCTGGATAAGGATCGTCGTCCACTGCCCCATGCATGCCTCCAAGAACACTCGAACTGTACCGTCGATATTTTACAGCTCGAGTATCCTCCGGAGACGGAATCGAACGCCTTTTTATAATCTATCCAGGCGGCGGAGAAATTCCGACGGTTCCGCTTGACCACGTGGCCAGCGACAACATCAATGAGGAGCTTCGATCCGCGGCAATCCGTTCTGAGCGCTAGATAGGATCTTATTCTCGTACACATGACGAGAGATCTTAGCGCTCAGAACGGATGTTAACGTCTTATATATTGTCGTAAGACAAGTGATGGGGCGATATTTAGATGGATCCGCGGTATCGTCCGTCTTAGGAGCTAAATGAGTGATCCCGGTTGTAAGGAAGTTCGGGAGCGTCCTGTTTTCGAAACGGCTAAGGTCGCATGGCTGGCCGAGAACGCCTTTTAATCCCCGGAGTTTTCCAGTTCGGACGACGGATCGCGGCAACCACGTCTTCCTCCGTAATGGCAATGGCGTTCATCGGCGTTATTCGAGCACATGCTTCCTCAACATCGTGCATCCATGCGCCCTATGTTCCACAGGTTCAGACCACAGCTTAGAAGGCGACGAAATTGGCTGTTTCGGGTCTTTGTCCTGTGGGCTGTAGTTTTGGGCGCTCCAAGTTCCTATAAAACTTCCGTTGATCACTCATAAAGAGGCGATTCTGTTGATACCTCTCAACCCTCTCAGAGTACCGTCGGAGTCGCTTCCCCCATGCAGCGATCTTCTGCTTCAGTTCATCTATGCGCTCCGTAAGTTTGTGCCCGAAGTCCGGCTGGAACAGACGTACACCTGTCCCAGCAAAGGCCTCTTTTACGGAGCGCATAATTCTCGGGCGTGTGTTGCCCTCCCTGAAGCAGAGCAGTCTACCAATGAGGACTCTGGCCTGGGCGATCCGTCGTTCAATCCTTCTTTTCCAGGCTGGTTTCATATTATCCCTTTGGATATTACGTCCAGCCCGGGGCATTTTTGCGCCGGTATATCGGCATACTGCCAACGCAGCGCCAAACAGGATTGAACTCGTCTCTCCCAAGTCACCGCTGCCCTCAAGGTACTGAGGCAGCAGTCCATTTGTGGCCTCAATGGCATCCCGCGTCGCCACATTTAGATATATCCGGGGAAGCTTCGGTCTCTCTTCGAGGGGAGTTCTTCGGATCTCTAGAATCGCCTCGTCTAGTATGCTCCTCATATGCTCTATATCCTGGGAAGTTGTTCCATCCGCATCCGCTTCTGAAAGCGTTTCGGCAACCACCTCTACGCTAGGTAGCACGTCTGAGATGGGTTGCTCTACGGTCGCGGAGTTTGCTTCTGGAACAACTTCACTTCGCAATCGTTCGAGTTCGGTCGCGCTAAACATACCAGAGCGCTGTATGTACCGAACTCTGTCGGCTAGGTTCTGTTCCGAGACGGTTAGATCCGGTAAAAGACGCAGAAACTCGCGGTGCATTACTGCCCGGTATCCTGTTCTGCCTGTTTCTGTCCCTGTAGCCCTGAAAAACGTACGCATGAGGTCCTCATTCATGGCTCTTGTCCACCTCATGCGACGTGTACCACCAGTGGCGGGCACCGATTGCTGGGCCTGTGACGGCCCTGCCGGCGCCAAGCCAGCTGATGTCGATGGCGAGGGGTCGGACCGGCCAGGTGGTGGGGCCGGTCGGCTGGCTCGCATTCTGCCGCGCCTACCGCCAGTTGTAGACGCGCCCCGGCGACCCCCGGGCAGCGACCCTATACTGTCTCCATTATAGTTATTCACCATCTTTATTTTTGCCATTGCCCCTTTAGCCGCGTAGGTTTTATTTATACGCGTGACCGCCTTCCACGTGAGCTAGATGGTGAGCTCGGACGCGGGGTTGGACTTTGGAAGGCTTATTATTATTATTATTATTATTTTATTTAAACTGCTATATTGGTCCCATGCAAATTTAGACGCGATTGATGTCACTTGTTTTTTTGTGTTACATCTTAGTATAGGTAATTTTATACATTTGTTGATAAAATACGGTAACAGGGTTCATTGCCGGTCGTTTCTCTGTGATATCGTAGTAGTGTAGAAGCATGATAACGGTATAGGCATTATACAGGGCGAAACTGTATTCATTAGTTGTATGTCAAACTAAAAATATGCTATAAAATATACTAGCCGTATCCTGTGGCTTCGTCCGTGAATTTGTATGTTACCTATCAACATCTAAACGGCTTAACAGTTATTATGGAATTTAGTATATACGTATTATATACCAGAGGCTTACCGAAGGCTTTGTACAAAAGATGCTTGTTTGGGCACCTCTATCCTATTCGTGTTTCTACCGTGAAGCAGTTGTGTTTGCATGGCTGTGTTTCGGTTTGAAGGGTGGGATGTGGCAGTGAACTTACAGGGTACAGGGGAATTACACCTGAGTCCTCAGGAATGGCAACGCATGGGGGGTATCATGAGCTACGTAGCTCCATTAAGTGAGCCGTCAGGTTGTTTGTAAGTTGCAATATATTGCCATACCTTGGTGGCCTCTTACGACACCCATGGGAAAGAAAGAGGTGTTCTATTCTATGCCGGGACCACAAGGCTTGTATATAAAATGACATTTTGTACAGTAATACAAGGTAAGTCGAGTCACTTATTAAGTTATCATTACAGTAAATTTTATCAAAAGCTTGTGTCTGAAGTCGAAATAACGTTAGCTAGGGTCTCTGATTAGGAACAACTTCACATAATTCAGTTTAACCCCGCTAAGACACAAGCTTGCGCTTTCACCGCTAAAAAAAACTATTTTCTATGGCTCAACAATTTCAAGGCATGTCTCTTAATATCTCTAAAACTATTGGGTTCCTTAGTTTTTTTTACAACACTGGAGGCAAACGAGCATGCGGCTTACCTGATAGTAAGTAACTACCGCCGCCCATGATCACCCATAACACCAACGGCATTGCAGGTGCGCTGCCGGCCTTTTCAAAAGGAATATACTCTTTTCTTGATGGTTATGTTGTCGTATCGGTTCGGAAATACTGCTGCTGGAAGTTAATTCCAAAGAGTGGTTGTGCGTGGAAGAAAGTGCCTTCAAAAACGCACGGTGGAAGACCGCCATTCGTGCAGATGGTTGGGATGAAATTTTATCGATAAAATAGTGTCGACATCTCTAGCTGAACTCTTTTTAATTTAGAGTAAAGCATGATTATTGTATGGGGTTGGTTTACCATCTTCACTCCTTAAGAGGGGAGATGTGAATTTTGTATAAAAAATAACATTGTTCTGTCTTCCACCAGTATCATTCCAAAGACACTAAGTAACAGCTTACAAATAGGAAATATCCACAGTAATCAAATATAACTGCTACAAAAGGCCACTATCTTAGACACCTCATCATTCTCATCATTTCAGCCACTATCCGTCCACTGTTGGACATAAGCCTCCCCCATAGACTGCCATAAAGAACATCCCTGGGCCACCTGTATCCACTGACTCTCTGCAACGCATTTCAGGTCGTCACCCCATCTAGTGGGGGTCGTCCTACACTGCATTTGCCCATATGCGGTCGCCACTCAAGAATCTTCCTCCCCCATCGGTCGTCCGTTCTTCGAGCTTATCTTAAATCGAGCGCATTTTAAACCCCTGCCATATTATAAATTCCTCACCACGTCTACCATTACACTCTCCTTCCCTGAAACCTCTCCCACATTTTGTTACAGCCCGCTTAAGTGAGTACACCTTCTTCCATATGAAGAAGGAAAAGAAGAATGAAAAAAAAAAAATTGTCAGGTAAGAATGAAAAAATAACATCACAATGAAATAATGTTAATAAGTATAAATAAATACTCACGATAGATAAATTAATCTACGCGCTGTAATAATAGAACTATATCTATACTCATTTACACTTTATTTATTAGTAAAATTGTATTTACAATACTTACAGCATACATTTGTTGTTAAAAATAGACATTCTAAATGTAATATACAGTTTAAAATATCTAATAATACTACATTTCAGAGACGAAACCTCGGTCAATTGGACGGCGTGTCGAAGTCCACGGTAACTGAAACAAAAAAATTTACACTTTGTTATTTTACATAATTTTATTAAACCATTTTTACTTCTTTTGCTTCTCTGCGTGTTCTACCGCTTGTACAACGGATTGTGCTCAGAGGAATTGTTCAATATGATGCCCACGGCCACATTCTACCATCGTACGGCTCGCCATCGACAGGAAGTTCACCTCTATACCTTAGAGTCTAGGTAGTCGAGTACAGCGCGGTTTCAGATATATTTCCTCCCACAAACGCTCAAGTTATGAAGTAAGCTCCCTTTTTTTTATACCACTGAGGTGGTAAACAAGCATACGGCCCACCTGATGGTAAGCGGTTACCGTAGCCTATGAACACCTGCAATACCAGAGGTATTACGCGCGCGTTGCCGACTCTGGAAACCCTGTGGACGTTTTAACAAGAGACTACAGTATAGGGTTCTTTAAAAAAGGGATAAAAAGGTTTCGTCAGGGACGGCAGCGCGCGCAATGCCTCTGGTATTGCAGGCGTTCATATGCTACGGTAACCGCTTACCATCAGGTAAGCCGTATACTTTTTTGCTATCTCAGTGGTATAAAAAAATAGGTATAATATATTTTAATAGAACTTATAGGAAATGTAAATAAACGATCAATTGTCCCGGCCATAAGATAGCCTATTGATGTCCAACAGTAGTATAAATAAAAAATCTATTAATTGCTTGTATGCTTCGATTTGTTAGTAGTTATTTTCAGTGAATGTTTTTGTGGAAATATCAATAAAAATTGCTCACCGTTTCATTACTATACTTCTAAAGTGAAAACATCACAACATACAGTCTATGTAGTAAAATTTAGTACTGCATATCAATAGTAGATGGCGCTGTCAAAAATTTAGACGGCGCTATCGTTTCATTTGCGACGCAGGTGGATTTTTTTTTTTTTTTATTCAACAATCTATTTTTATTATTTCAACACCAGAGGTCGCTCGCTCATAGTTTAGTCCTGGATTGCGTAAGATAGTAATGGACAGAAGCCTAAAATAAATGGCAAATATTTTTTTCTTAAATATCTTAAGGTAATTAAAACATATAATAACAAGATATTTCGAGATCAAAGGACACGTAACGCCACGTCAGAGGTATTCGTGTATAACGAATGCTTAAAGGGGGAAAGGGATTGTTTTATATATATATATATAAGATAGGCTTTGTAGTAATGGGGAGATTAGTCCCCATTGCTATCAATATACCCTATCAGATCGATCTCCACGTGGTTCCTGGAAACCATCCTGACTAATTTTTCGTTGAATTTGTCACGATGGGCTAACTGACCTGCCTTTTCATCTTCACCAATCATCCATCACCGCCAGTGTATACCGATAGAGCAGGCGGGGTACCATTCCATTATCATCCATTAAAAAAACTAATGCTTAAAAACTCTTGAGACTAGAGGGCGCCACCTTCATACGAGTAGTAGTAGGTAACCTATTATACCAGTGTTACTATATATTTACTATATTTACTCCTTTTTACTACATAACAATCTAAAGAATTACATATAAAATGTTATAAAATAACTGATCAGTTGAACTGGCTGAAACCTTTTTTTTTATTATTTGTATCGATTTTCGAAAATTCTGTCTACTCGTGCGTTTCTAAGCATGGAGGGGTCGCTAGTTAATTATAAAAGTGAACGAACTTAGATTTGTACAAATAAGTGTGGACCTAAGGGTACACAAATATTGGAACATATCGAGGCATGTTGTTTGCGAGATAACACGTGTGACGTCACCATACAAACAAACACATTTGCGCCAACAGGGTACCACAAACACCAATTAGATATAATTATCTGCTTATTACTAATTTAATTAGGCGTCAATGTTAGAAAACAGTTATTATGTATCACGTATGAATAATGATTCGTCATCGTCATCATTTCAGCCATTACTTGGCCACTGCTGGACATAGGCCTCCCCCATAGACTGCCATAAGGAACGGTACTGAGCTACCTGCATCCACTCCATCTAGTAGCGGGTCGTCGTACACTCCACACTCAAGAAGCTTTCGTCCCAATCTGTTCGATTCTTCGAGCTACGTGACCAGCCCATTGCCACTTTACCTCGCTTACCGTTCAAGCTATGTCGGTTATTTTGGTTCTTTTGCGGATATTTTTTTTATGCAACTTAGAATGGTAAACAAGCTGACGGCCCACCTGAAGGAAAGTGGTAACCGTCGCCTACAAACATGAGCAGTACCATGGATATAACACAGTATTCTGTTTTACCCATGATACCTCCCAAGCGTTGCCATTCCTGAGGACTCAGGTGTTATTTCTCTGTACCCTGTAAATTCACTGTAATAACTCACCCTTCAAATCGAAACACAGTCATGCAAACACAACTGCTTCACGGTAGAAACACGAATGGGACAGAGGTACCCAAGCAAACGACTTTTATACTAAGTCTCCCTCTGCTTAATTATCGCGTTACTGTAAATTGCCGAGTTTATCCCCGTCTTTTATAAAACATAAACCGTGCCACGGAAAATTTTGGTTAATATCTCCATCTAAGCTTAAGGCTTACTTATAACACAGTGTCTACTCTATTTGTCTGGGGGGGGGGAAGGGATTGTTACTAATGAGATTTAACAGCCCCATTGCTATCAATACTCAGGTCGATCTCCACGCGGTTCCCCCTGGAAACCATAGTGGTTAATTCTTGTTCAATTGGTTACTATGAGCCAACTGACCTGCCTTGTTACCCTTCACTGGTACTCCGCCAGTGTATATCGATAGCGCAGACTGGGTTACCATTCCATCTTCACCCATTAAAAAAATCTATTTGCCTTATTTATTTGTGAATATATCATTGGTGTATCTTCTTTAAATAAATTAATAACATTTCTATTACATACCATTATTCCCATAGTTCACTATGGGTACCATCGGTCCACTTAATCCATTCTTGTGTCTCCACCTGAAAAGTTAAAATCACAAAATTAAAATCACTTCTCCTTCTCCATCTGTCGCAGTCAGAGAAGTTCATTAAATTAACACTAATGAGATACTGTTTAATGGTATTCAAAATTATTAATTGTTATTATTAATGAAATTAGTAATTGCCATTGACAGGGGGGATAGGGGTTGTTAGTAATGGAGACTGGTCTGGAACCAGGTCGACCTCTTCGCGGTTCCCCCTGGAAACTAACATGGTTAATTCCTGATGAATTCATCATGATGGGCTAACTGGCCTGTTTTCATTCTCATCTATCGCCCTTTACTGGTGCTCCGCCAGCGTATCCCGTTAGCGTAGGCGGGGTTACGATACCATTTTCACCCATCAAAAAAAAAATTGCCATTAACAGCCCATAATGAATCATTAACTGATCCTAAAACGGCCTTTTTTATTTATTTATACTTTTGCATACATTAAAATATGTGTACAAGGCAGACTTAAGCCTGATGACATTCTCCACCAGTCAACCGTTACGCTAAACAGGGAGAGCAAATCGCGGTGTATTGATGTAACAAAATCAATATATAAAAGAAATAAATATTATTATTTTTAAATCTATAATAAGTTATTCCAGCAAATATTAATCGACTCTTGAGTACAACAACGCCGCAGGAAATTGCTAGTTTTTTTTTTTTTTTTTTTTTTTTTATGCCACTTAGAATGGCAAACAAGCTGATGGCCCACATGGAAAGTGGTAATGGCCTATAGACATGAGCAGTACTATGGACATGTTTCATTAAACTATCCTGAGGACTCAGATATTCTGTAATAAATTCACGCCATATCCCACCCTTCAAAGAAACACAGTCATGCCAACACAACTGCTTCACGGTTGAAACACGAATGGGACAGAGGTAATAATCGACTTTTGTAATAAATATTTATTTCATTTACAAATTGATTTTGTTACATCAATGCTCCGCCACTTACTCTCCCTGTTTAGCGTAACGGTTGACTGATAGAGAATGCCATCAGGCATTAAGTCCACCCTGTAGACATATTTTAATGTGTGCAAAGGTATAAATAAATAAAAAAATTACCAAAACAACAAATAAATGTAACGATACAATTGATAACTGTCTATTATTGAACATAGGCCTCCCCCATAAAGCAATAGTTGCCACGCTTGGCATGCGGGTTGGCAATCGAAATTAGGCTATGGTGGTATTTAAAGAGGGTCGTTGCTGTTTTCTTGTATAACTAATCTAAATACATATCTAATTTGTTAATTCACTATACAAGTTAATTGGAAAATGGTTACCAAGAGTATGAAGTATAAGCCATGTATATTATTTATAGTTTTTTTTTATTATTAACAAAATTTGAAATGGACAGGTCTTTCTATTGTTTTCTTTTAGCTCTCCATTACGGCCTTAGTTTTCTAAGTTCCTTTTATCAATATATTTTGTAAAATAGGTCTTTCATTAATTTTGATATACCTAATAGATTGACAAAATCTTAAACTATCATTAAGTGGCTGGAATGACAACGCACGGAGGGATATCATGGGCGAAACACTATACTCTGTTATGTCCATGGTACTGCTCATGTCTATAGGCGACGGTTACCATTTTCCATTAGGTGGGCCGTCAGCTGGTTTGCCATTCTTAGTTGTATAAAAAAAAGGTAGTGGAAAAACGTTAGTCTGTTTAGCATTTTAAGTTACACAAAGAAATTACAATAATCACAGTAATGAATTGTATTTATCTTTACACTACAAGACCACAGAAATGCCCTCTGAGACTACCAAGTGACCTCACATTATACAAGCGTGACTTATTGGAAATCAATAGGGGATACGTAACAAACAAATCTCGAACTAGTACCTACACGTACACGTTAGATTTAGCGAAACAATTAGAACAGTACATAAAACTGGTACACTTGCGATCATAAAATCCGCAAACGACCGTGCAATCCAGCGACGTACAGTTTTCTTGCACGCCAGTGTTTATACATGAGATCTGTGGTGCAACTAGATTGATGTTTTTATTGACTGAAGGGACAGTGTTATGCGATACTGACCTATTTATTTATAAAAATATTCATTTATTGAAACTTTTTTGTCTTTTTGCATTAATTATTACAATGAAAAAAAGTAACAAAACTGTCTAATAATTGTAATTTAAAATTGTATTTAATAAAAAAAAATTGACTTCAATTATTGAAAACCCAATTATTTGAATTTAATAACTAAATTACTAAACTAATTTTGATGAAATTAAATCTATAAAACCAATCTGTAAGTATTCTATTTCGGACAAAAAAGAATTTTTCAAATCGGTTTATAATTAACGGAGTTATAAGGTTACAAACATAAAATATATAAAGATTGTCAAAAAATCGACTTCAAATGTGAAGAAACCAGTTTCTTTGTTTTAAAACTAAATTACTGAATCGCGATTATAATAAAATTTCTAAAAGATCAAACTGTAAGTATATCCTTTCAGGTAAAAAAAGAATTTTTCCAAATTAATTTATAAATGACTAGAGTTATGTGGTAACAAACATAAAAAAATACAACCGAATTGAGAGCATTCTTTTCGAAGTAAATTCGTTTAGTCAAAAAAGATTTGAACAATTAAATACACTTAATTTTTTTATATTTTATATTTTTTTATATTTTTTTTTTTATATTTATCATACTAATCATATAGCATACGTCTATAAAATGATTTTGAAGTTGCCGAAAATATCGCGTAAAAGTGAATTTGTTACCTCTTATTATTGTTACGGCTCAACTCAACTCATATGTATTATTTAGGATAGAGGTGGTCATAGATTGCCATTTATCCTGATTAATACAAATAAACTAAACTTGAAAGCAAATTCACAGATAAAAACTAAAATAAAAGAGAATTATCATATCAGGCTTTGATTGTCCACTGCTGAACATAAGTCTCTCCCTTGGGAAGTTTTGCCAATAATTGCTATCATTGTCCGGCGGATTGGCAACTGCAGTTAGACTTTACGGATGTTTTAAGAGGGACGCTGCTGCCTACCTTTCGCTCTCCCTTAGTCGATTCGATAGACGACACCCACGGGAAACGAAGGGTTGGCCTATTCTATGCCGGCTATATATTCTATATTCTATATAAAACAATAGTAAAATAATACAAATCTTTGTAAATGAGTATAAATATTAATATTTCAGAAATTGTAAATAATAAAATATCTACATTGCGCATTGTTGATGAACATCGTCCAAATAAGATTCGATAGTTCTTCAGTTCAGAGATCCACAGCAATAAAACATTTTAATAGCTTTATATGATAAGCTTAGTGGCAGTGGTTGTCCAAAACCGGTAGGACTGTCAACAGATTCGATGTAGGTACTATGTTTTTATTGTAAAATACAATTTTCTAATAGAAATGTCTGAAACCTTTACACTCAGTTATATCTGTCGGTTTTTTATTTATCTATCGTAAATATATTATATATAAATATATATACGTATTTATTAATTAATTTATACTTTTGCATACATTAGAAGTCTACAGGGCGTATGTCTACAGGGCGGACTCAATGCCTGATGGCATTCTCTACCAGTCAACCGTTACGCTAAACAGGGAGAGCAAATGGCGGTGCATTATAAAAGTTATTAAAAGTATATTAAGGTTTCTTCGGTGCGGGGTGCTGGGTCGGAAAACCTCCAAGAGTGTCCTGGTTCATTGTACGGTCACTTGTCCTGGTGCGGATACGTCCGGCGGGAACGGTGGCTGACAATGGCTGGGGCCTGGTGCATCCCGGGCAACGGCGGTAAGTGATTTCTCGCTATTTAGAGATCTCACTTACCGACGGCTAATATTCCGACACTGCAGGCAGTATATGCTCCTCGCTTTGTCGATCAAGTCGACAACTCTGGGGATGCATAAATTGCCTGCCCTTCTTCATTTACCCCCTTCTTTTATTTCTTCTTCATTGTTTTGTTTTGGTTCACTCTTGTTTTGTTTTTCTCTCTGTCCTTTCCTATCCTTTTGCCTGTTCTGTTGTTTTGTTTCTTTTCTGTTTCTTTTCTTGTTGCACGGAATGGCAGTTGCGGACCTATATGCCGCCGCTGCGAGGGACGAGGGTGCTCGCTCGGAAGTCTGTTAGGGCTCCAACAAATTGGGGCCACTGGGGGGTCGACGGGTCCGGTGGGTGCTTAACTGCGCAGCCGGACTGGCCTTGTGCTACCGTCGACAAACCCGTAATCTCTCACGGAGGTGTGGTCATGTTTTACACCCGAGTGGGGGAACGGGGGCCTTGGCTTAACCGCCTGGGCCGCGAGGAGACAACCTCTATAAAAAACCGGTTGTTTAAGCTCTGGTGCCTGGCGAGGGACAGCTTAAACCTGCGGAGCACGCCACTGGATACCTATTTCGGCTGACGTGTTCTGCAGGGTGGGCGGGTGAACATCGGCCGCAACCAACCTTTGGGCACCTGCCGCACCCAAAGAATAGTAGGCCGTGCATGGAAGCAGGGGGCTACCCCATGCACGAAACATATCCCCCATGCTCGTGGGAACATATATGGAACCAATTAAAAACCCAAAACAAAATGACGAAGTGTCCGCGAAGGACGGAGAGAAGGTAGTGTCCGCGAAGGACGGTGTTGAGGCGGTATCCGCGAAGGACGGAATGGATGCAATGCCTGCAAAGGGCACCCCTCGTGATAACGCTAGAAGCGCCATGAGACTAAGGAGTGCTGGTTGCAGCGCTGGGAGCAGTCTCTCCCGTTCGAGCTCGCGCTCGACGGTTGTGGACGAGGCTTACACCGGCATGTCTGTCGACCAGTACATAACTGAGCAGTATATGACTGGACGGAAGAGGCGTCGTTCGGGCTCGGAGACATCGGGATCAATGAGTTCAATGACCAAAAACTCTATGAAGCTTGGTGCCCTCAAAAGCAAAAACAACTCCCAGAAGCAGCATTCCGGGCCGAAAGAGGCGAGGGTTGCCGGCAAGAAAAATGACTTCCA